GTGTGTGTGTGTGTGTGTGTGTGTGTGTGTGTGTGTGTCTGTGTGTGTGCATGTTTATGTGGTTTATGAGGACACAAATTTGTATAATAACATGGGTATGACATAGGTATTACAATGAGAAGGTGCTTTATGAGGACATTTACAGTGTCCCCGTAATTCAAAAGGCTTATAAATAATTCAGAATGAGTTTTTTTGAAAATCTAAAAATGCAGAAAGTTTCCTGTAAGGGGTTAGGGGTAGGGTTGGTGTAGGGCAATAGAATATACGGTTTGTACAGTATAAAAATCATTACGTCTATGGAGAGTCCCCATAAACCATAAAAACAAACCTGTGTGTGTGTGTGTGTGTGTGTATGTTTTAATGAAGGTAGTGTAGTTTGTGCATCAGCCTCTTTGCTTCAAACTTTTGTAGTCTTTATCTAGGCATATGTTCAAAACTGCAAACAAGTGTTAGGATGATGGGATTAACCTGGGACAAAGCCCTAGAGTAAACTTTTTTAAACTGCCCTCATCACTTATTTAACTATTGCGTGACTTTTATCTGTGTTGTTTTCAATTTTAGGTTTAGAAATGGGCTTAAATGATCCCATATAAAGAGATAATACAAGGATAAATCACCTGAAACATTTCCTTCTGAGCCTGTTTATGACCATTTTATTGATGTTTTATTCTCTCAGTATATCTATATCAGCGGTTCTCAACCAGGGGACTGGGGCCCAAAAGGAGCCCTCAGCAAACCTCCAAGAGGGGCCACAGAAAGACTTAAAAATATTTAAAATAATTAATTATTGTTAATATATTAAAATTATTTAACTAATCTGAATTAAAATGCTAAATCACAAAACAATAATGTAGCATCTTTGTCATAATTACAGCAGAGTCCAAAGAAAGGAGCCCTCAGCAAACCTCCAAGAGGGGCCACAGAAAGACTTTAAAATATTTAAAATAATTAATTATTGTTAATATATTAAAATTATTTAACTAATCTGAATTAAAATGCTAAATCACAAAACAATAATGTAGCATCTTTGTCATAATTACAGCAGAGTCCAAAGGTTGGCCATGAA